CCCAGGGGGTGTCCCCAGGTTGGGGAGGGACGTATGGGGCAGGGAAGGGGAGGTCACCCCACGCGTGGGATGCAGCTGTGCCCTTTTGCGTTTTCCATGATGCTCTTTCCTACAGTGCAGGGTTCGGCTTTGCCTGCCCCTGCCCCTGCCCCTGTCCCTGTCCCCATCCCCATCCCCATCCCTGCCTTCCAGCCCCCTTCTGCACTGACAGGTTTCGCCTCTCGCCCCCAGATTCAACAAACACCTAGACCGTGGCTTCAACTCCTGCTCCCGCACAGACCTGTACTTTGTGCCCCTCGATGGCTCCAAGCTGGCCAAGAAAAGGGCAGACTTGGTGGAGAAAGTGCGGCGAGAGGCTGAGCAGAAGGCGCGGGAAGAGAAGGAGCGGGAACGGGAGCGGGAGCGGGAGAAGGAGCGGGAGCGGGAGAAGGAGCGGGAGCTGGAAAGGAGCGTGGTAGGTCTGGATGTCCCACTGCCGCAGTGCAGCTGGGGCAGATGCTCAGGGACCCTCTTGGCCGCTCCGTGCTGGGACCCTGACGCTGGTTTCTCTGCTCTCTTGCAGAAGATGGCTCAGGAGGGCCGGACGGTTGAGTGTTCATCCCTCGGGCCGGTTCCCCACCGCCCCTCCTTCGAGCAGGGCAGTGCTGTAGCAACTGTTCCCCCGTACCTGGGCCCCGACACCCCAGCTCTGCGCACCCTCAGCGAATATGCACGGCCCCACGTCATGTCCCCCAGCAACCGTAACCACCCTTTCTATGTGCCGCTGGGTGCGGTTGACCCAGGCTTGCTGGGGTACAACGTGCCGGCCATCTACAGCAGTGATCCAGCGACGCGGGAGCGAGAGCTGAGGGAGCGAGAAGCCCGTGAACGAGACCTGAGGGACCGGGACCTGCGTGAACGTCTCAAGCCCGGCTTTGAAGTCAAGCCAGCCGAATTGGAGCAGCTCCACGCCGTGCCAGCTGCTGCCATGGATCCGTTCCCACGCCATGGTGGGCTGAGTCTGCAGACGGCCCCCGGCCTTCATCCCGCTTTTCCCTTCCACCCAGGGCTGGGCCACTTGGAGCGGGAGAGGCTGGCGCTGGCAGCTGGCCCGACCCTTCGTCCCGACATGTCCTACGCCGAGCGCTTGGCGGCTGAGCGCCAGCACGCCGAGCGGGTGGCTGCTCTCAGCAATGACCCTCTGGCCCGGCTGCAGATGCTCAATGTGACACCTCATCATCATCAGCATTCCCACATCCACTCCCACCTCCATCTCCACCAGCAGGATGCCATACATGCAGGTAAGGACTCCATGGTGGTGGTGCCCTGCACAAAGCCCTGCTCTCCCTCCTATCGCGCCCTCCTTGCGCTCTCTCCCTCTGGCCCTGGGGAAGCCCAAAAGCTGCTGAGACTAGACTTTGAGGCCCCAGATCCACCTCTTCAGCCAGAAGAGGTCAGCATCATAGTCATTCAGCCTTGCCCTCACTCCCATCGCACCAAAGACACTGATGTCTGTGAGTTTGCTGCTTAGTGGCGAGCAGAGTTGTTTGCACCGTGTCCTTTAGTTCTGGATCTCTGGGGACGCAATAGGAGTGCTGGGGTACCACTGGCTACCAGGGTGGTGGTGCTGTGGACTGCATCCCTCGCACTGTGGTCAGCAGAGGCAGTGGGAACCCTGCTAGCAACAGTTTCAACAGTATTCTTGGGACTAATGAAGTGTTGGTTCTCTACTTTGCTCCTATGGCTCTTGCTGCAGATGGTGGGATGGGATGGGAGAGAAGATGGGCTAATTGTAAGGAACTGGAGGCTGCTGTCCTTCAGAATTGAGTGGTGGTCCCTTCCATTTCCACATCCTACAGGAAAGCAAAGTAAAAAGAAGTTTAGGGATGAAAATCTTGGGGAAGCAAAGCCCAAACAATACAATAGGAAAAAGCGCTGTGCCTTCTCAGGTACTGTGAGCGGTCAGTGGGAACTAGTGGCAGAGTCACAGACAGACACCCGCTCTAAGCAGCCGCAACTAATCAGAGGTAGCATCAGGTACAAATGAATGTCCATTCCCCGACACTCTGTAGCTGGGCACCTCCAGCCAGCACTCTGGCAGTGAGTCCGAAACACTGGGTAGTTTTCATACAAATAGCACCTTGCATTTCAGCCTTAGGTAAGTACTTGCAAACTTGAGTGCCTGGCACTGAGCATCTGTGCTGGATGAGACCTGGAAATGGAAGCACCCAATATGAGAATGCACGTGAATGACAGTCTGTGTGTCAGATAGGCACGATACTGGGTACAGACACGATTGCAGAGCAGGTCCTTGCAGAATTGACTTTAAGGAGCAGTACTTCTCCCTGAGGAGCGTAGGGACAGAGCTATGCCAGACTGGTTCACGTGAAATTCAATGCAGGCAAAGGGAGTAACACTCAGAAGGATGTGGTACTCTCCATGTCTGTTTTGTTGTGCCTTGTGCCTTTCTCCATGTTACCTCTTACAAAGCATGGGACAATTATCTTGTGATATCTTTTCTTCTCAGCCTCAGCCTCTGTTCACCCTCTTATTGACCCACTTGCCTCGGGATCACACCTCACCCGGATACCGTACCCAGCTGGAACCATCCCCAACCCTCTCCTGCCTCACCCTCTACATGAGAATGAAGTGCTGCGCCACCAGCTTTTTGGTAAGGATGCTCACAGGGACTGCTGGTCTCCTCTAAAGAGCACCAGCAGAGCTCCAAGGGGCAGGGTGGTCACGAAGGGTCGCAGGACCAAACTGAGGTCTATTAAACAGAGCTCTGGCATGGCGTAGGACAGGCCTACACTATCGGGATGAGCGAGTCCTGCACATGGGCAGGGCTGGGAAGGGAAGTGCAGTAGTCTTGACTGAGCTATGGGGCCATGGGTGAGGACGGAGCTGTTACATTAACTTGTTTATTCTCTGTTTCGTCTTTGGCTGCAGCTGCACCCTACAGGGACCTGCCGGGCTCTCTCTCCGCGCCCATGTCAGCAGCACATCAGCTCCAGGCCATGCACGCGCAGTCAGCTGAGCTGCAGCGCCTGGCTCTGGAACAGCAGCAGTGGCTTCACGCCCATCACCCTCTGCACGGCGTGCCGCTCCCGACGCAGGAGGATTACTACAGGTGCATGGACCTGCTCTCTCCACAGCGCAGGGCGAGCAGACCACTCTGTCCTCACAAGTACACCTCCAGGCCCAGCCCTGGCCTGGGGGTGGCAGAGGCAGTGGGGACAGGGAAGCATTGCCCTGAAGTGGGTGACTCGGCCTGAGCCCACACCTGGGAGCAGGGATGCCTTGCCACTGGGGCACAGCTGTGGGTTGGCCACCAGGAAGGTCATTCTTGGCAAGTGGCTGTTGGGTGGCTAATCTCATGTGGGGTCTCAGCTCCTCTCCTCTGGTGGGAGGGGTAAACTTGCATGTTTTACACATGCTTAATACGGTTATGACTGATACCCCTGCCAAAATACCAAACATTCGTAAGGGTTGGATGCTTTTGCCAAGATGAGGCTTTCGGAAGTGCATGGAGAAGCACGTTGGGAAAGAGAGAGGTGCAATGTTGTACCTTTTCGATAGCATCTCCTACTTCAAGGATTTGCAAAACTTTCTAAGCCGGCAGTGTCGTGCGGGTCTAGACTAACAAAAGGCAGTGGGAGATACTAAATTGCCTTTTTCTCTCTCACAATCACCTTGTTCCTCTTCTTTATCCTAGCCACCTGAAGAAAGAAAGTGACAAACCCCTTTAAGTGGACTTTTACTGTCAACGTGACATCTTCATGTCTTTCTCTCAAGAGGAGCAATCAATCAACCAAATCCTGGGGGAGGGGAAGCTGCAGAGTGACACCTCCTGAACCCACCATGCAGTAGAGTGCAAGAGAAGACGGGACAAAAAGTACAGGATGGCATCCTGGGAGCAGAAAGTGGAGGCGAGAAAATGGGGAGGGACTGAAACACCACTAACGGACATGAAACGATCGGTACGTGATTTCAGCAGAGCTCTGAAGAAGACAGAATCAGCATTGCACAGAGCTCAAAAAGACAAAGACTGACGTGAATTCAGGATGGCGGCAGCCCCATCCTTTGTTTTGGGGGAACAGTTGCATTAAATAAAAAGCGCAGAGCGTTACAGGACTTCATGTACATGATGCTGCTGCCTTTTCTGCTTCTGCGAGGAGGAGGTGTGGCCAAGAAGTAACTCAAAACCCAACAGAGCCTTTTTTCAAGATGCCTCCTCACACCCCGCCCCCCTTTAGGTGTAAGATACTGCTTAGCGATACAAAAAAGCAACGTGGAACTTTTTCAGATTGGCCAGAGCAGCTTCCCGTTCTCCAACATCCCTTCAGATGCAAACAAAGCATTACGGGACCCCTTCAAAAGCGGCCGCTCCTGCCTGCAGAGGGACGGGTCCCAGCCATCGGGGTGCAAAGCACCGCAAGACTGTTTGCAAGATGGTGGCTGTGCTTTCCCACGGCTGATGGGAACGGGCGCGGCTACGAGGTGCAAAGCACCAGGAGACTGTTTTCAAGACTGCAATCACCACCATGACCCCTTCTGAGCCCCGCGGGGAGAGCTGATGTGGCCGAGCGTACTGCGTCCTGGGACTCTTTAAGATGGCGGCTGCCCCTTTCCCCTCACCCATTCTAATTGATGTACTTTAACTCATGCACATCCTATTAGACGTGGCAGTTTTATGTAGCAACTTGTGACTCCCTTGCCCCCGCGTGCGTGTCTGATTTCACAGTTGTATCTCTCGATTGGTCCCCGTATATATATTTACTTAACCATTAAAAGGAAAAGAAAAACCAACCAACAACCCAGCTATGGAAAACCACCCAAATGAAGTTCCCCACGCACTCCCAAGCCCCAACACACATTCTAAAAATTTATATATATAAATATATATATGACGCTCTTAAAAAAAAAAAACCCAAACAAAAAGACCCTTCCAGAAACAGACTCCGTTGTGTTCATTTCTTTTTACTGGGGCCAGGAGGGGACCTGGCTGAGCAGGGCCGTGGCGAGCGGCGCGCCCTGG